TATTTTATCTAATTGATTTTAAGAAAAAACATATTAGGATAAAAATTATAATAATCGATAATATTTTAATATAATATAATTTAATTTAATTTACAGTTTTCTATTTTAAAATGAATTTGTTTAAAATGCTCCAATTTGAAATATATCCAAAGAAAAACAGTTGGGTTTGGTGTAGTGGTTGCAGTAATTGTATTTAATAAAATCGCTACTTTTTCAAAAAGTCAACTTTATTGATAATTTTTTATTTAAAACAAGTAAAGAATATCACTTCTTCATTAAAGTAATTTGGTGAGTGATGTATATATTCACACACAAACTCGGAGTTGATTCATTAATGTTCAACATCATGCATTCGCTATCCCTCTTTCTCTTACCTCTAATCATCCTCTCATCTTCACCATCTTATGCTACTTCACCAAATCATGTTCTAACCCAAGGCTCCTCACTTTCTGTTGAAAGCAACGATSTTTTGGTTTCACCAAACAAGCTTTTTACTGCCGGATTTCACCAAATTGGCATAAATGCTTATTACTTTGCAGTATGGTTTTCTGAGCCCATGTCCGATGGCAATCACACATTGGTTTGGATGGCCAACAGAGACGAACCTGTCAACGGAAAACGTTCCAAGTTTTCCTTGCATACAACTGGAAATCTTGTGCTAACAGATGCTGGCCGAAGAATTTGGACGACCGACACTAAATCTACTTCGGCTTTGCAATTGCAACTCATTGACTCCGGTAATCTTGTTCTTAACCAGTCAGATGAGCAACCATATCTTTGGCAAAGCTTCAGTTTTCCGACTGATACCATTCTCCCCAATCAGCCTTTCACCAAAGATACCGTTCTTATATCTTCCAGAAGTTCATCAAATTTGTCTTCTGGATTCTACAAGCTCTATTTTGACAACGATAACGTAATCCGTCTTCTTTATAATAGCGACGAAATAACCAGTGTTTATTGGCCTAGCCCTTGGTTACGAACATGGGAAGCAGGGAGGACTACTTACAACAACAGTCGATTTGCTTTACTTGATACCACAGGTCGTTTCAAGTCCACAGATGATTTTATGTTTGTTACCACAGACGTTGGCCAGAAGCTTCATAGAAGACTGACACTTGATATTGATGGCAATGTTAGAGTTTATACACTGAATAAAAGAAGTTGGACTGTTTCATGGCAAGCAATTTCAACACCATGCCAAATTCATGGGATTTGTGGCCAAAACAGCCTTTGTACTTACAGTTTTGAATCGGGAAGGAGATGCATTTGCATGCACGGGTACAAGGCCAAGAACCACACAGATATGTCTTTCGGGTGTGAACCTGTATTCCGTCATACTGGACATCAGGAAACATATGGATTCGTCAAACTCCCTCATGTGGAATTTTATGGGTTTGATTCTATCTATATCCGAGATTCAACTCTCGAAAAATGCAAGCAGGCATGCTTGAATGACTCCAACTGTAAAGCCTTCCAATTCACTTTTGATAAAGGGATGGGTACTTTCATCTGCTATGTCAAGACTTTGTTGTTCAATGGCTATTACTTGGGTACTCATTTCGTCACTTACCTTAAGCTACCTAGAAGTTATGTGTTATCCTATGATCAAAATGTCGCTAACAGGTCTAGCTTCAATTGCTCGAATTCAACAATCAAACTAGAACGAACATACGAGATAAAACACGCAAATGGGTCCCTCAAGTTTATGTTATGGTTCAGTGTTATCCTTGGTGGAATAGAATTTACGTGCTTTATATTCTTCTTTTATATCACTCGGAAACCTTCAGGCAGAAGTAGAACAACGCAAGCCTACCTTGCAGTTGCTACTGGATTCAGAAGGTTCACATATGATGAAATAATGAAGGTATCTCAGAAATTCAGAGCAGAAATTGGGAGAGGTGGTGGTGGTATCGTGTACAAAGGCGTACTTGCTGACTCACGAATGGTAGCAATCAAGCAACTCCATGAGGCTAGCCAGGGAGAAGCTGAATTCCTATCAGAGATGAGCATAATTGGGAAGATAAATCATATGAACTTGATAGAAACATATGGTTATTGTGCTGAGGGAAAGCATAGAATATTGGTTTATGAGTACATGGAGAATGGCTCATTAGCTAAGAACTTAAGTGCAAATCAGCTTGATTGGCGGAAGAGGTTTGARATTGCAACAGGTGTGGCCAAAGGGTTAGCTTATCTACATGAAGAATGCTTGGAGTGGGTTTTGCACTGTGATGTTAAACCACWTAACATATTGTTGGATACTGATTACAATCCAAAAGTGGCAGATTTTGGCTTGTCCAAGTTATTCAACCGAGGTGCAACAAAAAATTCCATATTTTCCAAGATACGAGGGACTAGAGGGTATATGGCTCCAGAATGGGTGTTCAATCTTCCAATTACCTCAAAAGTGGATGTTTATAGCTACGGGATGGTGGTGCTAGAGATGGTAACAGGTCGGAGTCCGACATGTGATCAAACAAGTGATGATAATGAAAGGATGGACCAAAAAACTCTTSTAAGTTGGGTTAGAGAGAAGGTCCACGAGGCTGCTGGGAGTTTGACAGAAACACAAATCGTTGAGATATTGGATCCTGTTATGAGAGATGAATATGACCAAGGCCAGATACAAATTCTTCTAAACGTGGCTCTCAAATGTGTTGAGGAAGATAAAGACGCCAGACCAACCATGAGCGAGGTCGTGAAGATGCTTCTTCACCCTGAGATGAATATATGACTAATTAATGTCTACTAGCATTTGGCCCAATAAAGAAATTCATTCATACCATATATATTGTATTGTGTGATGTTCTTGGTTGTGAGGGGAGGGGCATGGGCACCAGCCTGCCCCCCTATTCCTTCTCATCATATGTAATAGTAATACCCTTACTTGATCGATCATATATATGGTGTTTGATCAAGTGTTATTGTCCTTATGGTCACTATAACTTGGTGAATTATTTTTATTGATCAATATTTATGTGACAAGTACTAATATTTTTATCGTTATCGAAACTTTAGGATGTTTTTGTTATAGAGAAATTTGAAAGATAAGAACTTAATGCATATGTGGTTTGTCTGAAGACCATCAAGAAACCCTTTCTACCCTATATATCCAGACAAGAATGGTAGGTATTTAAATATTTGGTATAGTTTTATACTACATAGACAAAGGATCATGTGATAAAAGGAGTAAATTTGAAAAACGCAAGAAAAGATCTGAATATTTGATCACTTTTAATCTCATGCCTACCCATGAATTGCGCTTTAGAAGAGAATTGATATCGTGCATCTCAGTACACCTCATTTGTGTTCACATTTAGTTAAGATTGATCCAAGAATAATGATTTTTTTTTACGTTTCCCACAATAACTTCCTTTTTGATCATATCGGAATATATCCAACGTATAACATATAATAGTTGAAACAATAAGTTAGAACTTTATATACTTGTTCTTTCAAAACCAAAAATCAATCTTTGGCTTGGTAATAACTTGTTAAAAATATTTGACTATCCACTAATTTACCTACTAAAATATCACCTATTTCTACCCAAGATCTCTGCATTACAATTCCATTAATTTTTGTCTAAATTTCGGAGTAAATGGGCTTTTAAATACGGTATTTTATTAGTGACCCTTTCGGGGAAATAAATGTGTTCCACAATAAAGAAAGAAGAAGAAGAATGTGAATCAATACCATACAATAATTAATAGGGACAAGCATAATTTTAGTTACCTACATAATTTGTAGAGCATTCTTTAAAGATTGGGGAGTAATTTACACCTTAATTATAACAAAAATTTAATTTTTTGATCATACTTAGTGGTATCACCATTATTCAACTTCTAGATTTCTCTTCTTCGCTAGCYAATGGCATTTCACAAGTTCAAACTTTGAGATGTTTAATGGACACTACAACAAAATTGGATTTATATGACGACAATAATTTTTAAGCATATTACTAGACGATCGTTTTATAGGACTTAATCTATAGGAACAAAATATAAAAYGTCATAACTAAAGATATTGTAATAAATTGATAGGAYGTTTTTGGACATCTTAACAAGTTYTTTGAGACATTTTCAATGCAAAACGTCACATTAGCAATTTTGTATGACACTTTTGAGAAAGTGTCATGTAAACTCATATTCTTATAGGACAATTATTTTTRTAGAACGCTTTTTCAAATARTGTCTTATAAAATTGCTAATGAAATGTTTTATACTAAAATTGTCCTAAATAACTTGTTAAGATGCCCCAAAGTGCYTATAAACTTATTACAACGCTTTTAAATATATAACGCTTTATTTCTTGGTCCTAGAAATTATGTCATATAAAGTGGTCTATTAGGACGCTTACATTTTTTTGGCGTCCTATAAACCCAATTTTGTTGTATTGGGATTAAATGATTTCACACTTTGGAAGGTGAAGACGAGGGTAGGAAGTGTTGCAGCATTAGAAATAGAAGATAAATTGTTCGTAAATAAGAAAGATGATGGAWACACTAAGGGGTGTTTGGTTMATGKAATTTGGTGRAATTGGAAGGAATTGGAATGTCTACATCTTTGACCAAATTCCAAATACCATGTTTGGTTCACAGAATAGATGTGAAGAAATCCTTCCAATTCCAACAAATTCCTCAAGTCACGGATTTCACAATTCCACCGCATATACCACGGATTTCAAATTCCAATCCGACAAATTCTTTAGCCCTCATTCAAATTCATCGACGTTGTATCTYGATTTGCTCTGCTCTGCTATGTTCGATCTCCTTTGCTCGATCTCGTTTAAAACTAGGAATGATAACGGGCCAGGTTCGGGCCGATTATTGATCCTCGTCCCCACTTTACTTACTTGAAGACTATAAAAAGAAAGTTTGACCATCATGATTAAAGACTATAAAAAGAAAGTTGACCATCATGATTAAAAGCAATGAAATATATAATTATGAGAACCCAAGAATCTTTATAGTGTCGTAAATTAATTTCAAGTCTAGTCTATCTTTAAACCTATACTAAGATATACTTTCTCTTTTCTAAAATGAATATCCACAATGAAAAGTATAATTATTATACTTTTTAATTAACATATAGGAAAATTGTATCAAAATGATATCAACTTTCACCTGATTCCTATTTTGAGAAACCAACTTTCAAAATCGTCATTTAAGAGTCTCTATCAAACTTTTTGTTTATGTAAGGGTCTGATTAACTTGTTGAGCATGTAACATGTAATTTATTATGATTTGGCAAATAATAATTTAAAAATATATTRGGTGGATATTATTTTGCCAAATCATCATTATCATTTAAAAAAAAGATTAACAAATCAAAATCTGTAAATGAATAGTCCAGTTATTGTATCATGATCGTCTTGACTCTCTCCTCCGACATTCATGCCTTCAGTCCTGGCCATCGCTGCCCTAGACATCGTTGTTCATATCTTCCGGTTGCCTCTCWGGTCGATGCCGACACCAACGACGTTCACAAGGYATGAATCCTCTCCTGTCAATTCTTTCATCATGCAAATCTTAATCCATTAGTCTCTAATAGAAGAAAACAACTAYGCCTGGATTTATGGTAATTCTTACTTTTTTTGGTGGTTTTKTTYATCCTTTTTWAATAATGTTTGGATCTTTAAGCATGTTTATGTTTGACGGGGATTTTAGTTGCAATGTGCTTATTCTTGGAATTCCTTGTCTGCATGCTGTTGTAGGCATATACTTCATTCAACAAGATCCAGCTAAGTTTGTGACTCCCTTGTTCTMAAAAATAAAGTTMAGTAATACATATAATCACAGGATCAACCTTTTGAATGAGATCAAACTTTGGCTAAGGACAGATTTTGCCAAACTTTTGCCCCCAAAGTCTAGACGCATGTCTGGCAAGCCTACAATAGCCAGAAGGAAAGATGCAAGTGAAGAAAATGGTCACACTAGAAGAAATGCATATGACCATGAAGTTGTAGCCAAATCAGGGAGAAAGATAACTTGCAGAATCTGTTTAGAGGTAGGACAAAACTCTACGAGTTGTAAAAATAAAAAGAAAGATGCACCGATTCAGCCAAAAAATCCAGTTGGTAGACTGAGAAAAAACAACATAGAAGAGGAGGATTTGGTTATTGGAAGGAATATAAGAAGAAGGGGTTCAAGAGGTATGAGTTCACGAGATACGATTATAGTAGTAAGTATAATAATTGTGATTCATATTGTGTTTGAATGAATATATATATATATATATATAAAATATTGTAGCTAAAAGTATGTTTATTTTGCAGAGTTCACAGGTTAGTTTTGAGGCGAGTATACCAATTACTATTGGGAAGTTATATTTTTTTTTTTTCGATATAGAGGGGGCGGCCCCTCCAATCAAGAAAAAAAAGAAAGTAAAGACAAATTTTTTGGATTTTTTAAACTTTTTTATAAAAACAGGAAGCAAAACCAAGGATAGMTTTTTGGAGGAAGCTAAACCGAAGCAATCACCAGAAAAGAGCAAAGCTCAGAAAAGGATAGGAGAAGAAAGAAAGAGGAAGGGGGGGAGGAAAGGAACCAACCATTAGGAAAGATTCCAAACAAGCTTAGCACGGGTAATGTTAGGGGAAGGCTTCATGGTAAGGACAATTAGCCTGGACCAGACATCATCAGAGATGGTCTTCACCATCATGTCAGAGGATCTTTTCTTATTCTTGAATATGTGATTATTCCTTTCCTACTAGAGGTGGTAGACAGTTCCAGCAAGCACTAAACGTCGAACGATAGACCAAACGTCTTCCCTTTGTGGCTTGCTGAAACATACTGATAATATCAGTCCAGTTATCCAGAATAATAGGGTTCAGTTTTGGCTTAAGGCCATTCTTAACCTAATTAGGAAAAGGGCACTCAAAATATAGATGCTGATGAGAATYAGGCCTGTTAAGACAGAAAGTACTAGACATGTTAGAATACACATCCTATAACCGAAGCTTATCATGGGTCTTTAGACGCTGCTTGAGGGAAACCTAAAGAACGAAAGCATGTATGGGGATRTTTTGAGAAAACCAGACCATATGATGCCACCCGACATCCGGCTCATTGTGAATGGAGAGCCAGACCTCATGGACAGAGAAAGAAGTGAGACGACTATCCCTTTATCTCCAAAGGAGTTTATCAGGGACATAAGGGGAAAGGACATGAAAGGAAAGGAAAGGACAGGAGGGGAAGAATCATGAAAAAAGGGTTTGGGACTATCCCACAAGTGTGGGAAAGTCCAAATTCCCTGATAGATAATGTTCTTAACGCAAGCATTAAGGGAGAGGTTAGCGTTGAGGATATTATAGGGAGAGATATGTCGGCAGAGGGGGCCAGCAGAATGCTAGTTTTCATACCAGGCAGACGTGGAAGCGTCATCGCCAATCTAGGAGACAATGAAGTCTCGTATCTTATCCCGCATGCCCAGGATCTTTCTCCAACCCCAACCAACATCGCTGTGGATCGGGGCATCCCGGAATTTTCGATATTTAAGCCTATAGGATTGGATCCATTTAACCCATAGAGAGTCTTTATTCGTTAGGATTCCCCAAGTGTGGGAGGCCATAAGGGCAAGATTCCAGCTGATAAGGTTCTTAATACCAAGCCCGCCTTGAAACTTAGGAAGGCAGACGGTCTTTCAGGAGACCTTTGTTTTCTCTCTTTTAAGCTCACCATGGCACCACAGGGAACCCATATGAGCTGCTTAATCTATTTAGAATTGGAAACAGGGAGAATGAAGATCGAGGGGCAGTAGATTTGCATGGAAGATGGGACCAAGAGAATGAGCTATAACCTACCGACAAAGGAGAGAGACTTGTTTTTCCAGTCATTC